AATTATCTGATTGGTTACTAAACTTTGCAAAAGATTTCCAGAAAGTTGCCTAATTTCAAAAGTTTCCCTGATAGTCATTGAACTATACAAAATATAATTTACATCAATCGTTGAGAACTTCAAAATTTTCCAAGTTAGCCCATATTTGGTGGGATTAAAATCAAAATTTTAGTAGATTTTGATAAAAAGTTGAAAAAATGCCTAGTTGAAAAGTTGTTAGACTCATAAAATATGTGATTAAAATTAATTGTTGACTTTAATTGAAATTAAAATTTAAGTTTTAATCCATAACAAACATGGACTTAGTCATTAAACTTTACAAAATGTAATCACGAGTGATGGATGAAATTACATTTTATAAAGTTCGGTGACGAATGGAAAAACTTTTGAAGTTCAGTGATCCCTAAAAATTTTACGCAAAGTTCAGTAACCAATTAAGTAATTAACCAATCTTTATATTTTTTATCACTTCCTTTCTTTTCTTATTTTTTTTGGTATTACTACTCCACAATTTTATTATCTCGCCCCAAACATAGAGAAAATCATGGGGTAACCAACAATGTTATCCGCTGACCTCTCTAAGATCAAAGAGGCGACAGAAAAAAAAACTAAAAAAAATATAAAGATTGATAAATTACCTAATTAGTCACTAAACTTTGAAAAAGTGTTCAGAAGGTCATTGAATTTCAAATAATTCTCCGTTAGCCACTAAACTTTACAAAATATAATCTCATCCATCGGTGTTCAGTGTAATCTTGCCCATTACTCAGTAAGTGATTAGATTATATTTTATAAAGTTAAGTGACTAATGTGAAAATTTTTAAAGTTTAGTGACTTCGTGAAAACCTTACACAAAGTTTAGCGACCAATTAGGTAATTATTCCAACTTAAGTCGAATTTTAAACGTACTTAGGCCATCAAGTCGTAGTATGTGTTCAAATCTCTTTCTTCTTATGGATTATCTGGAAATAAATTTATAAACTCAAAACCAACAATAAAATGGTAAATAA